GCGGGTCTCGAACCCGCGGGCTCAGGCAATCCACTCACCTCAGTCTCCCAAAGGCATGGGTTTACAGGCTGAGCCACCGAGCCCGGCTGAGATATTTTCTTAGTATAAAAAGAACTGTCTCATTAAAAAAGATACTGTCCATGGTTTTAAATAAGAGAAAGGAAAAATTGTCTTTTGTTGATGTAGAGTAAAGGAAACCAGGGTTACTTTTTTTTATGAGTCGGAGTTTCACACTGTCGCCCAGGCTGGAGTGCAGTGGTATACTCACAGCCACCGCAGCCTCGACCTGCTGTGCTCAGGTGATCCTTCCACCTCCGCCTTCCAAATAGCTGGAACTACAGCACGTGCCACCATGCCTGGCTAATTTTTGGTTTATTGTGGAGACAAGTTGCCCAGGTTTGTCTTGAACCCCTGGACTCAGACAGTCCTCTCGCCTCTGCCTCCTGAAGTGCTGGGATTACAGGTGTGAACCACCGCACCTGGCCACTTTTCCTTTTTAAAAGTCTTTAAAGGAAGTGGATTGTGGGCATGGGCTCCATTCCATTCCTTGGGCACCCAACTGCCGGAGCTTGCCTTGGAGGGAAAGGGGGACAGAGGGTTCTTCCTCCTGTTTTGTGAGGTCCCTTTTTCAAGTCTCCATGTGGTTGAGCTGAGATCTCCAAGGAAGGTCAGTGGTTCTTAAAGAGGAGTGTCTATGAGTCTCATGGAGGCTTTGAAAACTCACAAGGCAGTGTGGCCCCCAGCTGTCTCCCAAGGTGTCACTTGTGTCACTCAAAATACATGAGCTTTTTGGCTGTAACTCCAAATAAGCAAGATGGAGCTGTCTTTAAGCAAGGCATGCTTTGTTCAGGCTTTCATTTATTCCTCAGTCTAGCAACAGATAATAATAATTACTGCTGTAGCATTGTTCTGTGGGTTTGATGAGGAGCACAGGGTAAAGGAAGAGCATGAGCTCTTGAGTCAGATTGCTGGGGCTCATAGCCAGTGCCACTGCTGACCAGTCACGCGACCTTGGGCAAGTGGCCCCCTCTGTGCCACATTTTCCTCTCTCACTAGGTGGTCAGTGTGCATACCCCCTAAGAACAATGCCTGGCACAGTGTAAGCTCCCAGCACACCTCGCCTTGGTACCCACATAAACCCTCAGGGGACCAGTGTTTGTTGAATGCCCAGAACCGAGACCCAGAGGAAACAGGCTCAATTCTGCAAGTTCAGAGCTCACACATTAGAGTGGGAGACAGAAGACAGCCAGCCAAACCAAGTGTGTCAGGCAACCAGGAATGTCAGGAAGAACACTGGAGCTGGGCAGTGGGGGTGAGCAGCCTCCTAGACAGTCCCTATAGGGCTTCCCTGTGGAAGGAACCACCTGCACTGGAGGAGGGCTGCCCAGATCACACAGGGCCTTGCGGTGGGCCGGGGCTCCATGGTATGAGAAACAACAAGGAGGGGACATCATGGTCAGAGCAGAGCATGATGGGGACGGTGGTAAGGAGTGAGGTCTGAGGGAGCCGGGCAGTGCACAGCCTTTAGGCCATGGTGAAGATCCCGAACATCTGGATGGGCTTTTTGAAGCACTTTTTATTTTTTAATTGGAGTCTCACTCTGTTGCCCAGGCTGGAGTGCAGTGGCATAGTCCTGGCTCACTGCAGCCTCGAGGACTGGTCAATATTTACTCACCCCACAAACAGTGGCTGAACACCTACCACGTGGGAGCACCAAGCAGTGGGGGCAGGGGAGGCACTAAAAAAGACCAGCCTGGCTCACTGCACCCTGGGTTCAGGTGATCCTCCTTCCTCAGTCTCCTGAGTAACTGGCATACATGCCTGACTAACTTTTTGATCTTTGTAGAGACGAGGTCTTGCTATGTTTCCTAGGCTGGTCTTGAACTCCTGGGCTCAAGCAATCCTCTTGCCTCAGCCTTCCAAATTGCTAAGATTACTTTTTAAAAAGACTGATTATTTTAACAAAAATTTTAGACAGAGGTTGTTGCCCCATTTGTAGATCGACCCCTCATAGCCACAAACCCAGCCTGGGGAGAATGTTCTGTCCTTGCCCCTCCTCTCCTCACCCCGTCTTTTCCTGCAACCTAAGTTTATACTTTTGTACTTGCTTTTAGAAGATGCACCTCACCCAATGTTTGCTGCCGTTACATGCTTTTATTCTGGTTCTCCTTTTTTGGGGATGCCGTCTTTGTCCCAATGCCTAGTCTATCTTCACTGTTCAGATATGGGGGCTGGTCTTTTTTAGTGCCTCCCCTGCCCCCACTGCTTGGTGCTCCCACGTGGTAGGTGTTCAGCCACTGTTTGTGGGGTGAGTAAATATTGACCAGATGAGATGCAGAAGGTAAGCCAGTGAGGATGGAGGCTTTGGGAATTGGGCCTAGGTTAGGGTAGGTGGGGTGGATGCTGAGATGCAAGAAAGGGAGATGGGGCCAAGAGAGGGTCTATATTTGAGGAGCTGGGGAGGAGGAAGCTTTCTAAGGCCCCCATCGCTGGCTGGAGCCGTCTTTCCTTCTGCCTCCCTTGCTGGGGGCCAGCTGAGGCTGGTGGGTAAGGCAGCACAGAGACTGCCTTGAACAGAGGGCATCCAGCAGACATTCGAGAACACTATGGCCAGGGACGGGCCGGCCGAGTGACTTGTAATGAAGGGGACGGTGTTCCTTTTCTCTCTTTGAAGCCCTGGATATGGATGCCTTCATTAAAGTCATGAAGAAGGTGCTGAGGAATGTGTCAGATGAGATGCTGGAGGCGCTATTCTTGAAGGTGGATTCAGACTGTATTGGCTTCGTCACTTGGGTGAGGAAGTGCCCTTGTGGCTCAGGTGCTGGAGGGAGGCTGAGGGTGCAGAGCTAGACTGATGGTTGAGCACGTGTTGGGCTGAATGCGGGAGGCAGGTACACACAGAAAGCTGCTGTGTGGGGTCAGGCTCCAGCCGGTGCCTGCTGGGTCAGAGAACCCCAGGCTTCTGGGAGCTGGGTTCCCTACTGGGGTGCAGGAGAGTGTGGCAGGTGTCACTGGCCTCCACGAGACCTACCAGGTGTATGCAGTGAGCACGAGGGCTTCCCGTCTGCCACGAGGCTCTCCTGCACACCAGTCACCTGTGCGGCAGGGCGGGTGCAAGCTGGGACCATGGCCATCTGGGGGCCCTGTCGTCACTCAGGAACAGGCAGACCTGTGGTTGTTAGAGCCGAGCAGGTCAGGGTTTTATAGCATCATAATAGTAATGCTTTCATTATTTTTTATTCTAAGTGTTCTACAGTGAGCATGTGTAGCACTTAAACATACAGAAAAGTACAAAAAACAGTCTGACCTATTGATGCAGTAATGATGACCTGATGCCTAGCATCCCACCAGGCACTGGGCTCAACACTTGGTGTATTATTTTACTTAAATCATAGGAATTCTATGGGGTAGGTGCTATTATTTACCTTCATTTGACAAGTTGGGAGACTGAGGCATAAGGAAGTCAGGATACTTTGCCCAGGGCCACAGACTGTGAGTAGTTGAGCCAGTATTCCACTCAGGAAACCTGCCTTTAGAGTCTATGCAGCTGCCATGTCAGTCTCCCCTGGTGTAGTTGTATATTCTGGGTTTCATTTTGATTTTTTGCTTTTATTTCTCTTAATTTTATATAACAAGTATGTTTTCAGCATGCTCTGCCCTTTACACTGTCCTTAGGAACTCCCTGTTTCTCAGTACAGCCTTGTATGGTGGCCTGGTGGGGCCTTGGCTATGTTTCAGGAAGGAGGCATAGAGTCCAGAGGGGCCCTAGGGGTCCTGGCGTCAGGTCCCCCCCCCCCCCCGCC